TGGAAACTGCCTGGCTAGGGGATTTCCGCAAACACCACTGTTGTGTTCTCGCCGGTTTCTCGTTCGGGTGAGCCCTCAGTTGCACGCGCAGATGCAAACGCACACGCGAGCTGGGCTTTGGCGTTCATGCTCCAACCACCGGGATCAGGATGCACTGGTTCGTATCGTTGACCGAGCATCATTACTGTCACGAGCTGTCGATGCAATCGCCTTCGCTTACACAGGGGCCCTCTGGCGAGCGAGTCTGGAGCCGTCCCGTCTCAAGGAGACAGCATGGACAGAACTTCATGACTTCATCTAGCTGAGAGTTCACGATAGCCAATCAAGCGGTCAACAAACGAATAAGTTTTGTGCTGGCTTGGACTCCTTGATGGTCACATGGGTGCGAAAGCCCCGTCCCGTCCTTTGCTCGACGCTCCGAGCAAGGCCTCCGGGGCCGCTTCCAAGTACCTCAGTGCGCACGGCCCGCAAGGCACGGCAAGTCACAGCACCTCTCTTAGCCGTCTTAGCCCTTCACTCCAGAAGGTGCAGACAACTGAAGTGCCTGCTTCTTGGACACCTGCGAGACTCGGAAGCATCTCATAAAGCACACTTTATGGTGGGGCAAAGTAAGCCGGGGTCAGCAGGGGCCTGCAAGGTTTCCACCGTCTCTTCATCTGTCGCAGCCCCCATGCTGCAGGCTACAGTCTACATGGCAACCTCTTTTTCAAGCTTCTCTACAAAGAAAACGGCAGTAGTTAGTCAGTTAGTTGCTCTGACAATCAAGACGGCACTAAAGACGTTCTGCTGACGCCCATGCAATTCAAGTCATGTCGTTGGATCTGAGCCGAGAGCATGCATTTTGGAAAGCATTCCCAATATGTGCACAAAAGAAGAAGAGGAAGCTTGTTATTTTGCCGCTTTTTTTTTGCAGGAGCGAGGTCGCGTGTCAGGTGGCTCCGAGTCGTCGGCCCTCGCCTCGAAGGCCAGGTGGAAAACCGCAAAGGCGAAGGAAAGGAACTTCTCACGGCCTTCGAAGGCTGTGAAGCTCGCAGCGCTGGCGCCTGCAGTGAAAGCACTCGAAACTCCAAACCGCAGAGGCCAAGCCAGGCTGTCGCGAGCCGTCGCCTCCAAGCAGGCTGGATCGTTCCGTGTAGCGGCCTTCGCCTCTGAGCAGAAAGAGCACGGAGAGCACGGAGAGCCGAGAGCGGCTTCGTCTCCGCCTTCACGGTCGCGGTACCCCGGGCCCGGTCCGGGTAGAGGAGATGGCTCACCGCCTTGGCGGAATGTTGACAAAAGTCAACAGGAGTCCGTTGCACGGTGGATTGCAAGCCTACACAAAACGCCAAAGCCTGAAGAGGCGATGAGCACCTAGGACCTAGGACCCGTTCCTTTCCGAACAGGAGGAATGAGTCAAAAGCAGTGGACACTTCGCAACCTCTGGCAAATACAAGAGAATCGCACATGCATGATGGGTGCAGCAAGCCAGAAACCTCAACAAATAAATGGGGGGCAACTCTTCAAACTGCCCGGCGGGAAGACTCGTACAACATGATAAGAAACCAAGCCACTCCCATAGCACACCCAAAATCAAACACAGAGCCCTTGTACCGTTGCCTAGACCCCCGCGAGATCCGACAACCGCTACGAGCACAGACGAGAAGTGGAGTTCCGTGAGACTGGGGCCTGTACCACTAGCATAGTCCTGAAACAGCCACCTGCACTGGGTGCATCTGCATGCACTGCCACTGCCGCAATCAGCGAAGGCAACTCTCAGGGTGCTGCCATGCCAACGGAACACCCATAAGCGTCGCAACGGGTATGGCCAGGGCCAATCCATTCGCGATGTTGTACCTATCGACTGCTAAACTAAGCACAATGTCAGTTCTGAATGGATGCTTGTCACAGACATGAGCAGCTACGGCGATTGCACAGCAACGACGGCGGCTGCTCGCAAGCACGGTAAGCCCATGGTTCGGCTTTGGCGGCAAATGGCGCGGGGCAGAGCTTGGAACTCTAGTTCTTGACAATTCCAACATCCTTCGGAAGTTTGAAGCCGCGACGATGCGCCCCGAGTCATGGCCTGGGGGTGGGGACATGGGTGGGTCCGAGCGTCGGCCACTGGGCTCGAGTTTGGAGAGCTCGAAGTTTGGAAAGGCCGATGGTTTCATCATAAAAAGTCTATGGCTTGGAGTTTTGGAGTTCGCATGCTTGCGGTTCTGGATCGTGAAAGTCTGGAGCACGAAACCCTAAACTACAGGAAGTTTCGAGTTTTTTTAAAAGCTCACAGCTTGGGGGAACGTGTTTAGTATGCCTGGTTTGGAAGCCTAACTAGATCTATCGGACGGGGAACCTTGGACTCGGGAATGTTGCAGGGTTTTGCGCCGGCTAACTTCATAGTTTTCAGTTTCTTCGCTTTGTGGGCTCTTTTGGATTTCTGCTTTTCTTCCGAGCTTTTCTGGCTGACGTTTTGGTTTTGGGGCTTCAGCTGTTGGAGTTCGGGAGGCGACGGGGTTATCCCATGCTGGCTAACGAGGTTTAGAGATATTAGTGGGCACGGCACGACACCTTCCCGCAGGACCGGCAAAGTTTCGCTTTGACCCTCACTCAGGCCCAGCTCAGGCCCAGTCAACAAGTTCCGGAGCCCAGAACCCAACAGCATCCCAAAGTCCGAAAGGTCCACAAAGTCCAAAAGGTCCTGAAGTCCTGAAGTCCTGAACATTACATCCAAAAATCCCAAACCCAAGTTGCAGGTGGATCCTGGACTCGAAAGCCCAAACAACCACTACCCCAAACAGCTGCTACTGGCCCTAGTTCAGTGTGGAGTAGTACAGCTATAACAGGATCCGTGTTAAGGGTATGAGTTTTGTGCGGACGAGGATGTAGTACTCCACCAAATGTCATGCGCTTCGGCATTTCAACTCATACTTTCGAGAGCTTTCTCGAACCACGATTGCAAACTCGGAACTCGTCGGCATTTTCTAGCTCGACCCAATCCTGCGAACTTTGGGGCACTCTGAAGAAGCCTTTGAGGAGAAGAGCGGCATTCTGTTTTTGACCTGCCAGCCAGGGGCCCCGGTGTTGAACATGACAGTCTCAGAACTCAGCAGCACACCAGGACATCGATCAGTTTCACCAGATCGAAGGCCCCTTGGCTTCCAAGCTCCAGAAGCGCAGGTCCGAGAGAGGTTCTATGGCCGCCAAAGGTTAAAAGACCTTCGTTTACTTCCCCACAGAATCATGCTCCGAAGGCATCAAAACCTCAGCTGAGCGGCCATTGATGAGGCACATCATGCCCCAATAGCACAGCCTGCATCTATCTGCACTGATGGCATCTGCAAGACTCCTCGAATTGAGCTCGACCGAAGAGAAGCGTTTCGACCCTTACTCTTGAAAGTGGTTGGATGAACGAAACCAAATGTTTGCAACCTAAGCTTTCGTGCTTGCATGAGGACTGCTTTCCGTTTCCTTCAGTCTCTTGGCACCAGCTCCTAGCCGACATGACTGACCGGATTCTCTTGCAAACCTGACACGCCGTGGTTTTGCAGCTCGTTTGGCTTGGGTGCATGAAAGAGTGTTGTGCAGTTACCCGGCTGTGTTGAGAGGAGTGAGGTGACATGTCCCCTTAGACTGCAGAGTCGGTGGAACCGTTCAACATCACACGCTCACGTCAGCATGGGGCTCGGGAGCTAAGGCCCCAACAGCTGAATGTTGATCTCCTGGCCGACAAAATCTGGTAAAAGGCCGATACAGGCCGAGGCCAAGCGACTGCAGGGAGACCTCCCGAATCCCGAAGTAGCCCACCGCAATCATGATGGCCTGAAGCACCAACAACATCCAAGATTTCCCATGCAAGCAAGCTGGATTTGTCCTGACTTCGAGCAGCAGACCATTAAGAATGCACCCATGATGTCCAAAAAAAGAACCTTTGGACGGCTTCTGGTGGCTAGAGAGCAGCTGCCTGTCCTGTGCTCATCTGAGTCGAGCACTATTCGAACCACGCAGAGTAGACCTCTGGCTATCTAGGGCTAATGCTGCTGCTTGTACAGAAGGCTACAGCTGGGGCTCTGCTTCTGAGGATGGGGCTCTGGAGGAGGAGGACGAACTTCACCCAAGGGCGCCTCCGGAGCTCGGCGCAGAGCGCAAAAAAGACCGAGGGGAGGTGGTGCGAGCGAAGTCTCCTGGAGAGAGCGTAGGCCGATGGCGGGCCGCCCCTGCAGGTACCGCCGTCGGTGAAAAAAGGCAAACGATGGATCATGCGAGGGCCGCACATGGCTCCCATTGCTGGCATTGGAATGATCATGACGTCACAGAACCACACCAGCCGTGATCAGGTCTCGGATGCTGACATGACCTCTGTCAGGTTTGAAAAGATCCTCCGAGACTGATCACAGCATTGTGTGGGTAGACCCTGAGATGCTGCGAGCCCAAACTGTCACCACGCCGCAATAGAGTGGAAAACAACCAGACCTTGCTTATGATCATCATGCATTGAAGGCAAAGGTTGCCGTCTTTCTGCGGCGATAGCCAGCATGTGTTGGTCCATCCCAAGATGCCAGCGGCCAGAGCTACCTCTGGCAATCTCTGGCACGGTGCGCTGGTGGGCGCAAGCAGTTGCAGAGCCTTTCGTGATTCTATCTTTTCTGCATATTTCACATGCAAACTTATGGCCGCAAGGATTGCGACTTCCTTCACACTCAGTTAGGAATTGTTCCTGGATTTTGGAATTCAACTGGACCAGCTTTATGGAGATTGATTGGTCTCCGGGCACCCGAGTGTGTTTATGTTTGCACTTTCAGGTGACTTGCCTTGGTTGTTGGTACGGACACAAGCGACCCTTTCGGCTCTTCGCCATGCTCTGCCATCAGAATTGCCGGAAAGGCATCCTCTTAGGAAGAAGGCAAACCCGGCCGTTCCCAGATGCATCACAGTAGACGTCCATGCTCAAGCCGGTCTTTAACCGAACTCGCCGATGGACATTGGACCTGACGCTCACAGCTTCAAAGCACAGTGTGCAGACTTCAGACTCTGCAGCATCCGGCGATGCTTGAACTAAGCACGGAGCGATGATGTCTGTTCGGAGCAAACGCAGCCCATCGGACCCACGATTTGTGGCCATCTAACTTTCTCAGGCCTCAGGGCCAACAAAGTCTGGCCGGATGTACTCTGCATGACATTCATCTGCGGCACATTTCCCATTGTCCGACCGCCACACCTGATGAAGCAAAGTTCCCGTTCCCAGACTGGTGTTCTTCCGGTGCCCTTTGGGTGCTCAACCCTCGCACTGCCGTCTTTGGAAGCGGTCACGACCTCGATTGCAGCTGCGCAGTGCAGTACGACCATCAGAACCAGAGGCAAAGCTTTACCTTTCACATGCAGTAGGGAACTCTTGATTGATCACACCTCCGGTACTTTCTGAAGCAACCTTCATTCAGCAATCGCCCCACCGTAAATTTTGGACATTTCTCGATCTGAAGAACTCGCAGCATTCCCTCATGCTTCCGGACTTCATCTTTTCTTGCTGCTTTGAAAAGGTTGAAGAGTCTACAGTGCTTCGCACTGCTTTGCGGACAGCCGCAGAATTTGCCCTAAATGTGTGCATGGAAGCCAGAATCCAGCTCTCGAGTTGAATAAGAAAGCCAAGCATGTTTTGAGGTAAACACACAGCGTCCATCAGCAGAGAAAGCAGCCATACGCAACCTGACAGCAACGTCCATCGACTGCCACTGTCGTACATCTGCTTGCATCTCTGGGCGGAACCAGTCTTCGTGGCCGGCAAGGGAGAGCAATGGGCGACCCGTGACGGCACTCCAGGTCTTGGCCTCCATCGGCAAACGACAGACTCTGAAGTACCCCGTTCAACGCGTTCAACAGGCCCATGCCATCCCATCGCCAGAAGCCGTCACGACCTTATGCGAAAGAACTGATTGCAGCGACATCAAGCTTGCACAAGTCTTACTAAGCTGATTTGCTCGGCAAACGTGGAAGATGACGATTGCCTAATGTTTAGCTGCGGCCTTTGGGTGCCATGTTTGCGAACACATGAGCATAGCCAGTTCCTGTCTAAAGGTCGCAAGGCAAACCTGTGCTGTCGTGGTTAGAGAGGAGACGGACTTTCCAAGCCGGACGTTTCACGAGCAAAACTTTGTAATTCCAAACGTGTACTGGAACTTGGCAGTTGAACTCAGCCACAAGAACATGGTTTGCGGCTAGCGAACACCAATTGGGTGGGACCGCACCGCCACACTGCTGAACATCCGCGGCGCTTGAGGCTAAGTGCAGATCCTTGAGGCTGTCAGGTGAGAATGCTGCGCACCGCAACCAATCATCATGACCTGCACTCAAGTCTTCCCGAAAGGCTTACACACACTGCTAAGGCAAACATGGGCCTGTGATGACTAGTTTGGTCTGACCGGTATGAACATCAGTAATCCTGAAAGTAGTGCATGGAGCAAAGTTGGCTTCAATGTCGCAGCTTCGCTTCCTGGCCGACTGATCCATTGACGCCGTGAGCAACAGGTTTCCGTCATGGGAAAACTGCACGCTGAAGACCTGGCCAGTCTCCTACAGTACGAACAGGTGAAGGTGTGGGATGTCTAAGATGCCTTCATGTCGTGGCCGGACAAGACTTTTACCTCGGATCCGTGGGACGTCTCACTCGTTGCAATGTCGATTCTTGGTGTCTGGCTCGCTCCAATGTCTTCGCACTCCAGATGGAGACCTGAGAGAAACCGCCCGGTTCAGGGCCTCCTCACGGGCCGCCACCGGCCCGCCGCTCTGCAGACTTCAAGCTGTCTGGACAAAGGGGCTCAGAAGTCGACACGAATTGGGTTCCGGAACGTGGGTTCGTTGGGACGAAAACTCAAGGGCCTCGAAATCGCTGAATGAGAGGGAGGCGATGGGAGGAGTGGATTCGGACAACTTTCGCCAATTTGTTCTGTGCTTGTAGACGAATGGCAGTGACAATATGCGAGGAAGACGCAACGGTCTCACATTTCATGCCGCAAGCCGCAGACCCGCAGTGTGGCAACGAACGGTTAACTGGTGAAGATTTGCAGAAAACGTTTTCAGTCTCTGCTTGGATATGAAATGCCCGACAAGACTTGGGTCACGTGCTTCGGGGTCATCGATTGCCGTGGCTATCAGCTGCCCATCTGGTGAGTACACAGCGCTGTGAATGCTGCGCTCGAACCTGGCAGCGGTCAAGTAGCTACCAGCTGCGATGCAGTTGACGTGTGAGCAATGGACTTTGATAGGGTTGCCGTCAGGAGACCACTCCTCAGCTGATCTGCAATGCAAATTTCGGCTGCACGTTCCCCAGATGCTGTCAAACCCTCGGTTCACAAGTTCAGCAGTACGAGTTCCGGCCCTGTGACAGTGTTTTCACATGCAGTGCCTACTGGCTGCGACTTGCGTCTGGCGTGCTGCCGGCTTCGTCCGTGTGCCACGGTCGTTGTCGATAGCAGCTTCTGCAATCCACCGATTTCAGGGTGCCTACAAAGATATGCAGAGTATGCTGGCATCTACTACCTTTTCTTATCTGGCGCTGAGTGCCAGCATGCCTCCCAGATTTGTACGTCTGCGGGTTTCTGAAGCCCACTGAATGGACATGAAGGGCAATGTGTGCGAGGTTTCCACACACCAAGCCCAACACGACGGGCATTTGAGGCTCAAGGCTCAAAAGTCTATCGCATCACTGCAAGTCCATGGGAGCACCAAACTTTTTTTGCAGATAGGGCGGACTGGGGAGCAGGAGTTGACCGTTGCCGAACACCGTCCTTGCGGTGCCGTATCAAAGCTGAATCAGACTTTGTAGCAGAGAGACCATGAAACGCGTTGCTGCATCAAGTCAACGCAAAAACAGTTTCTGTATGTTTCTGTCGAACCCGGTCCAGTGAAGCCAAGACTCGTTGTGTCCCAAATCTTCACGGTCCGATCATGCGATGATGTCAGGAGGTTACACCCTGGAATGCACACGTCGAGACACCACGAAAGCAGCAGAGCTGGCGAAGGGGCGTGCCATCAGGGGAGAAGAAAGCCGTGTAGACAGGCCCAGAGTGTCCCACCTTGCAGTGTGAGAGTATGGCTGGGGCGGCTAGGGAGCAAAACTGCGCCAGATTCGAGAAGGCCCTCGCACAAGTGACAATGCACTGTCCAGTTTGGAGCCAAAGCTTGGCAGTCTTGTCCTCCGACGGACAAAACACGTGCCGACGTGCCGCGCCTGCCCTGCCCCGTGAAGACGAATCGGCCAGTCCGTGGAAGCCGTCGCCAGCAACTCGCCATCTGGCGAAAACGAAACACACATGACCTGGCTTTATGTCTCAAACGACATTGCTGATCGTGCATCACTGCAAGCGACTACCGAAAGAGAAGTCGGCCCTCTGCCACCATCAAGCATAGCATTCGTAGCAGTCCACCAACTTGGGCTAGGCTAGGTGCAGAGCTGCAGCTCCCACCGCTAGTCAGCAAGACCTGACCCAAACCTTTGGCCGGCAATCCTCGTTCCAATGAGGCTCAAACGCTGAAGCTTAGAATGGGGAGGTGGTTGCCTGATCCGCATGTCCGCTGAACGTCATCAGGCAATCGCCTGTTTGAGAACTCTCGCAGGAAACACCCAACAACTCCCCTTAGCAAGCCCTGCCTGTGTCAATTGACCAGAGTCGGGCCGTATGATCGATCGATGCGGTTGCAACCTGCAAGGAAGCTTCGTTGCACATCCCGGTCCGTGACTGTCGTGAGAGCAACGAAACGCTGCCAAAATCGCCCGGCCTTGCCATCGCTTGCTTGGCCAACGCTTCGGGCCACCTGCGACAGTGCCGGGCGGCGCTGTGGCGCGAGCCCCTTCGGGACCCGCAGGGCCTGGAGGGTGCTCAAGGCCAAGGTCTTCAGGAGTTCTGGATCACCACCAGAAATTGCATCCTCACATCGAAGACATCGAGGGCCAAAGACATGGTGACGAGGGGGGGGGGGGGGGGGGGNNGGGGCGACACGAGTTGCCTGAGGTACCATCCAGCTGCCGCCGACAGCGATAACCTGGCAGCTGCCATTGGTATCTGCTGAAGTGAAACCACTCATTTCTGCTCTTGTCCATAATGTTAGTTCTGACAGATGCAAGGGGGCGGAATGCAAACACAGCCACTGATCGGCCTGCTTCAGCGAAAGGTAAGCCTGCGAGCTTCGTGTAGGAGCATCTCAGCGTGTCTAGCTGTGTCGCAGATGCCTGGAGGTTCTTCTCGGTAACCCCCCCAGACGGGTAGAAGTTGATGTGAGGAAACGGTGCAGAGATTGCCTGGACTTCAAAACTTCAGAATGAGAATGCACAGCAAACAGTTCAAGCCTCGCCTTCAAGCCTTCCGTGCCACCATTCACCTTACACACAAGGCTGACCTACTAGAATGGCGCTCTGCGAAGTTTATGCAGGCCTCGGCAGGAAAGAACTTCAGAAGGGACAGCCCCATCCTCCGCCACGAACACAGAATGCGCTAGGCATAGAATGGCCGTGTCATGTCGTGTCCCCCCCGTCCCCATGGGCCCATGGGCCTGCTGGCCTCCTGCACTTCCGAGGGCGTTGCCACACCTGGGATCACCTCAGTGCAGATCTGTGCAGTGTGCAACAGGTCGCAACCTCCCTCCAAAAGCGCACCACGACAAAAGGCCGCCCACCGGGATCTTCCTTTGAAGGCACCAGCCCAGCACCTGAAAAAGAAGACAGGGAGAGAGAGCCTGGCCGGGCGGGAACAAAAGACTCAAGGGTTGACAATTGGGATAAGAGGCGCTGAAGACGGACAATTCCGGGGTTAGGCAGAGATTCTGCGGCTGATGAGAAAGTATCACGGTATTGTCATTTCTCGGGATGGATTTGTAAAGGTGAAAACTGCTCGAAGGCTGCCTCGCGAGCATTCCTTCACGTCACTTTTAGATTGCTTCTGATCGTGTCTATTGTTCGTGGCTGGTTTGTACAATGTGGCGCTGACGAGTGTTACCCCGTACGTAAAGATGGTAGATTATCGCGTCTGTGGAACTTGAACAAAGCCATGCGCGGACTCAAGCAAAGTTGCGAGAACATTTCGATGCACTACAAAATTGAAGCCCCAGAGGCCTCAGAGTTCAGGCCCGGCGTGGCGATGAACTTGGCCCCGCAGCTCACGGCCTCGAGTCTCGACATGTCTCGTCTCCGAGCGTTTGCTGCGATCTTTTATGCAGGTGTCTCTCTCTCCTTTTTCAACCGCCTTCGGGTCACATTGGGATGATCTTCTGTGATAAGCATGCTTCTGCTTTTGCGGGCAGTTCCTCAGGTTGGACATGCTGCACTGAATCAATGCCACAGACCAAGAGTGCACCGTTTACCCTGCCAAGCATCATGTTTTTCCAGGAACTGGTCATCCGCCGTTCGTCCGATGAGGCCAGGCTCCACGCAAACGAAATCCTGTGAGAGCGGAACTACATGAACTTCGGAATGTTGGAGTATCTGCTGCACCTTGAAAGCCGGAGGCGGTAAATCACCTGGCGAAGCCTCCTCGTAGGGATTCCACCTTGGCACTGCATGCTGTCAGATTTCAGCCTGGCTTTGGCTCAGCCGACACGACGATCTCGATGGGCATCGGCTTCCCAGAAATGCTGCCTGCGGCCGAGGCGTTTCTCATGCGAGGCTTATTCGACCAAAGGGGGGCTGAGTGGCTAACCCTCGTTGCACACTGCATACATCGCCTTGGCTTCACACGAGTTCGAGTCCGTGCCACCGCTTCTCACAAGCATGGCTCTTAGGCGACCACAGCACCACCTCGCTGGCCAATAGTTACATCCTCCATGCTTCACAACTTCGCATAGCATGCAGCATGCTGAGCCCTGATTTTTGGAAGCCGCTGGTCGACCTTGGCATCGTTTCCACTGACAATGTCCTCAGCAACCCCGCTGCATGTATGCTGACGCCCTCGGCATCAGAATCGCACAGCTCGAAACTTCCTTGCCGCCGATGTAGACACGGTCGGTAAACGACGGGAGCTCAACGTCTGCGGCCTAAAAAACATAACTCTGCACATCGCGCAAAATGGGCCCAGGGATGCCCAGGGGCCACGCTTCTAGTGCCTTCTCGCCACCTTTCACCTCCAAGAGGCTTGCATATTCCAAAGGCATGTTACACTTTTGGGAAGCAATGTTTAAGGATGTTTTCGACCAGACGGTGAAAAGTCCTAGAAGACTCCCCGCTGCCTAGACTCTTGATCTGAGCTCCTGCATCCCGGAATGCTTTATTTTGACAACACCAAGGCGGAGGCTTGCAGAAGCATGTTTACATGATAAACTCTTCTGCAGTTGCATGTTTAACTTTGCTCAAGGGCTCAAGGGTTTGCAAAGGCTTAGGCTTGCCAGCAATGTCGCTGGAATCATGAAGGCACGCAATATCCATTCTGTCTATGTACTCGCCGCGGCTCACACAAGAGAGAGAGAGAGAGAGAGAGCGAGAGCGAGAGCGAGAGCGAGAGAGCGAGAGCGNNATAGATGATATATATATATATATATAACGGAGAGCGAGGCAGATGCTACAAGTAATGCAAGGAAATCACAAACTGACAAAACAACAGAATGCCGTTTGTTCAGAAAGATGCGGACCGGCCTGATGTCATCCCTGTGCTCCTCATTCTTTTCGGACATACGGAGAACACTTCTCTACATATTTGTTTCTTGCATGTAGTCGTCTCATTTCTTGATTGTCGCGGAACCATGGACAGGTTGCATCCGCTCACATAGCTGCTATTGTTGGAAGATAGCTCAGCATAGCTGTTTGTGTGATTGTGGGGTATGAGTCTCACCCGCAGGAGAAGAATTCGGCCAAGAGCATTCAACGTTTGTTCGTTTCGATCCAGTCAATCGAAAAACTCCAAGACATGCAAAACGGCACAGGGGATCCTGTCCTTATCGGATTGTTAATTTTGCTGGTTGGACCTGCGGACGTGGACTGCCGTCTTCATGAAGAACAAGTGAAGACAGCAGGTGATGAAGCCTCGAAACATGAAGAGATATGCAGTGGAAATCATGACGGAATCAAGGCTAGTCATTTTAATCTCATCTCTGATGACAGCTTGTACAGTTTCTTCTCTGCTCGGTCGTAGTAGTCGTGTCTCGTCGTCGTAGCCGTAGTCGTAGTTGTAGTTCGCAGTCGTAATCGCATGTAATCGCGATCGTAGTGCTACTTGCAGTCGTAGTAATCTTGCAGTCGTAGTAGAGGTAAAAGTAGAAATAGAAGTAGAAGTAGAAATAGAAGTAGCAGAAGCAGAACCAGAAGGAGTAGTAGTCGTCGTCGTCGTCTTCGTGGTGGTGGTGGTGGTGGTGGTGGTGGTGGTGGTAGTGGTAGTAGTAGTAGTAGTAGTAGTGGTAGTGGTAATGGTGAATGGTACTGGTAGTGGTAGTGGTCGCGGTAGTTGTGGTGGTGGTGGTAATCGTGTCAGGATACCGTATTCACTGGAAATTGAGATGGATGTCCCAGAAGACATGCCATTACCGCTGCACGCTGCCGAGCAAATCTTTGCCGATATGATTGCAAGCGGCCAAATCAGGATGAGTGTTTGGGCACTCGTCTGCGACGGGTGACGCTCCTCGTGAACAAATTCATCAAGGCATGCACCCAAAAAACATTGTCAAGTTTTGTGCTTCAACGCCACATTGCAATGGGTATACACGTCGACCTCAACAATGACCCTTGCAGTGTCAACGCGGTGCTGCCATGCTCCACTTTCAGTGGAGGTGGATTGTGGGTGGAATCCAGCAATGGCCACTACCTACCCCAAGATGGGCAACACGCTGGCCACAGGTACAACCTGACTATGTCAGGAATTACATCCCCGCCACACAAACATCGTGCGACGTGTTCGTCAGATTCGCATCTCTTAAGAGGATGGAGCGGTGGAACAGTTGGAGTGACTTCGATTCAGGCTGTCAAATGTACAGCCATGAACCAGTGCGCCGATACTGGTACGGACACTCGTTTCACTTCTCACTCAGTGTGCCACTGTAGGCCACTCACCCTCTGTACAAAGCAGTGTTCGTGTCATGCAATACAGCCAGCTTGTCATCACTCCAATTGCTTTTTTACATTGCACAAACGCATCAAGTTGCCAGGTGTACACAAGATGCACGCCTCTGCACTCTCTTGACTAGTTGAGTAGGTTGCGAGTTTGCAGCTATTCGTAGCGGCAATAGCCCACGTGGATTTTGTGCTCATGAAGCACCGGTGCAACGCACTGCCACTACCTGAAAGCCAAACTGAGCGACCGGCTGCGATTGGAAAGAAAACTAGAAGTAATGGTGATAGTAGTGGTTGCAGTAGTAGTAGTAGTAGTAGTAGTAGTAGTAGTAGTAGTAGTAGTAGTAGTCGTACTAGTCGTAGTACTAGCAGTAGCAGTAGCAGTAGCAGTAGCAGTAGCAGTAGTGGTAGTAGTAGTAGTA